GTTGAAGCTGGGCACCTCTGTAAAAGAATAACAAAAGATTAACAAAAGATAATTAAAACAAACACAGAAGGGTGTCGGAGTACTCGAGCTATACAATCGAAGATTACCTGGGTCATTCTCAATCCGGATAAGATCGAGGATCTCATCACTAGGAGGAGGACAAGTCTTGTGGGTGAGAAGACCACAATAATGGAGGAGGTTCTCATCCCTAAGAAGTTTTTCGGACGCAACGAACTTGCAGTTCCAAGTGAAGACCCGTTGGTCGAACAGAGGGTTGGGAGGAGGGGTTGAAGCCGCCTCTCGCGAAACTTCCTTGACCCAAGGGACGGACAGCCAAGGAAAAGGAACATCAGGCCGGACAAAGATAAATTTATCACTTCACTTGGGGAGATTGGAGGGAATATCATTGATGAAGTGGGCGCCATTGCGGCTCTTCAAATAGAGACCATGACCCTGCTTAGAAGGGGCGTAGCAATAATGGAAGAAGTCCAGGTCGAATCGACCTAAACGGACGCGGCAGAGGATAATAAAGATGGTCATAAAACGAATAGCGTTTGGGGGGAGTTGGTGCAGAGAAAGCCCAAACCACTCACAAATCTGAAGAAGTTCAGGACACAGGGGAAAGCGAAGGCCGAGTTTAAATTGGATTTCGAAAAAAGTATAACAATCCCTCGGGGGATGATCGTATTTATCAGAGGAAGAAGAGCTAAAGAACGCCTAACCAAGAGGTTGGACGATTTTTTCAGGATCATACCAAGGATGGGAAAGAGAAGTAGAAGATGGACGCCTCGAAGAATCCTTAGAGAGTTTTTTGGTCGAGGCTTTATTGGAAGGAGAGTTAGAAGTACCAGACTGAGAAGAAGAAGGAGGAATGTTCGAGGAAGGAGCAGACGTGGGTTGAGGGGAAAGGATCTCGTCCTCCTCGGGCTCGTCTAAAGCACCGAGGGCAGGTCGACGGCGGCGGAGAGGAACGTTATCCATAGTGTCCCCGGAATTGGAAGAAGCAATATGGGCGGTAAAAACACGGGTAGGAATGGTTTCGCCTGGCCGAAGGATAGAAAGAAGAATAGCTTCGAAGGCTGAGGGCAAGATTTGAACCGAGTCGGAGGAAGTGGTCGAGGTGGCAGGATCTGAAAACAAAAAAGAAAAGAACAATATCAAAAAGAGGAATTTGGACGAAAAAAGAGGAAAGAAGAGAATGTTTTCAAAATTAGGGTTCTACGAAAAAGGCGATTTTGGAGAAATTGAGGAAGGAGAAAAGGGATTCCGGGAGAATTTCAAAGGGAGAGGACGAAATCTACAACAATTAACAGGCAAAAGCCAACACCCAACATACAAATTCAAAATACTCAGTCAGCACACTTCAAACACCCAATTCAAGAAATTCAAAACGCAAAATCCTAGACACAGGAAGCATAAAATCAGATGAGGAGCAACTTACTCATGATCGCAGATGAAAGATGTGGAAGAACTTGAAAATTGCAGGAGAAATCGCCGAAAAAGATTAGGGTTCTTGCGAAAGGGGTATTTGAGCACAGGAGAGTTCGAAATTGCAAAGGTGGAAAAACTGGGAAAATTCGCTAAGTACCAAATTTTTACTTAGAGAGTTAAAGGGTTGGGAGAGCAAGACCGTTGGATTAAAACCAGATCTAATGGTGGGGAGCATTAATTGACACAACACTCAAAGTGATAACTGACAGATACGGCAGATGCGACGCGTGGCAGAAAAGTAGGCACGGCAGAAAGGACATATGACAGGTGACCCTATCCCTGGCAATTAATGGGGTATTATTTGAAAAAATAAGCGGGAAATCCATCAGATGGTCGATACCGGACACCATGTTATCCAGGAGGTCGATAGGCACAAATTCACTCTTAGATCGAGTCATTCAGACTCGACCAGAGTGGGGGGGACTATATGATATAGGATATTATACCCACAAGATTAAACCAGTCTATTGACTGGTCGAGGAGGTTGTATTATGAGAAAGTCAGGGAAATCGAGCAGTTAACCGGTTGACCAAGCAATGCTGTCGACCGGACTACCCTTCGACCAGATGAGCGATCGAGCAGTTCAGTCGACCTCGACAGGTCGACCACTTCGAGGACTTAACACCACGATGATCGGCCTAGTCACAGGCGCGTGAGAGAGCCTCTAACTGAATTCCAGGAGAATATTTATCCCATGTGCGGGAGGACACGTGTCGAGAAGGCAGTGGTTGATAGCAATAACCACCTCTGACAGCCTACCCCATGTGCAGGAGGACACGCGTCCAAAGGGTATTGGTGCAGACGATAGTGGCAACGGTTACCTCTAACACACGCGTAGGGTGTGTACGGACGGGCAGTTAGGGCAGACAGCTCATCAAATCCGGGCAGCCCTAGGTCAGATATCTCACCTCTATATAAAGGGGGTGAGCCTTTCTTCTTCAACACGATCATTCAATTGCTTACTCTTGAGAATTGATTGAACATACACTGACTTAAGCTTCGGAGGCTCTTCACCGTAAAACCCCTCCGGTGTGAGAGTTCTTTGTAGGTGCACGACGTTCAACCGGCGAGGAGGAAGGCGATTATTCAAGTTCCAGCCGGTCGGGAAGTTTTGTGTTACCAGTTCCCTACTTATTTTTTTTTTTTTTATATATGTGTGTGTCATCTGAGCCTTTTTTCAATTATGTTTTGTCTTAATTTAACATTTACAGCCCAATTTAGAATATGGCTCATATGTGGGCCTATTGCATTTATGGATTTATTGATGTGATTAAATCATAATAATTAATAAATCATATTAAACTTCATCTACTTTTAATATATTTAAATGCATTTTAAAAAACAAAAAAATATATTCTTAAATATTAATAAATTGTTCTATCAATTAATTTAGATATTTACATGTTTTACATTATCTAAATATTTAATTAATATATTTATATATATAGTATTTATTACTTAAAATACTATATAATATTTTAAAATATTAATAAACTAGATAACGGTCCGACCGGTTTAACCACTGGTCCAACCAGTGCACAATTATACATGTATCTCCATTGGTTCAATGACCAGTTCAGTTTTCAAAACTTTGATTTAAGCACATATTACGTATTTTATATACTCTCCTACGTTTTAAAAATCAACCAAAATTTATTGCAAATTGAGGAGGTTTGAATTCAATGAAATATCTCCAATTCGGAACAAAGGATAGTAGAAATTAATGAAATTCATCAAATTTTACTTTGACGTACCTAAATTTATGTGGAAGTCTAAATCAAGCTGTTCAAAATGAATATGTAAAGTTGTGTTAAAAAATGATCTCACTAATATGTAATGTTGTGTAGGTCTAGAGTTGTTAAACTAAACGAGCCGTTAGTAGACTCGACTCATTAAGACTTGAGTTTGGCTCGACTCGTTTGATAAATAAGCTGAGCTCAATCTTATTTAAAATTCGTACAGTTAACGAGTCGAGCTCAACTGGGCTCAATAAGATTCGTTAAAGCTCGAAAAATTGATTTTCATGTATTTTACTATAGCTCGCTCAATTTTGAGTCATTAAACTTGGAGCTGAAGTGATTAAACTTGACAAATTAATTGAATTTGAGCAAATTATAAGCTCGTTAGGGACTCAAAACCGAACAATGGGCTAACCGTCGGTGTCAATTGTCAAAGTCGATCACATCACATCATACAACTCAACTCAAAACGGCCAAGAGTTTACCAGTACATTCGGAAAATTATTTTCGATACTTTATATATGTTCTCTCCATTCACTCTGTTCTTCTCGGAAACCCTACAATTAAGCCCTAGGCCGGATCATCTTCTTTCTCGATCCCCGCCTTTTCATATCCTTTTGCATTTGCTGTAATCATCTTCTCTGAGATCTGCCTACAGGCGCACCCCTTTATTCCTTAAATTTTATTCCCATAATTTTCAGTATTTAGATCGCTTGTTTGTAACTTTCCCTTTCTGGTTTTGTGATTCGAATTTTACTTGTTTTGCAGTGATAGAAATTGGAAGGCGTGGTGATGCTGGGTGTTATAAGGCGGAAAGCGGCTTCCGGCGCCGAGGTTGTACCCTCTTTACTTGTATCTGTTAGTGCGTATGCTCATGCGCTATGTATGTGTTGTGCGTGTATTTTGCATATAGTTCAAACGAAACTGAGTTATGGCTATCCTTTCAATTAGGTTTACAAGAAATCGTTGTCTAAGCTCAAACCTACAGTATCTACACCACGAGCATGCGCAGCTGCTCCAGAAGAGGTAAAATGGACATTTGTTTTTGTTATGGATTTCAGTTGGCATCTACAAAATACACACACTCGCACACACACACATGCACACACACACGCACACACTTTAACTTTCTATTTGTGGTGGAAGGTCAATAGAAGTAATCATAATGCAGTTGTATTGCATAAGACTTTGACTGTTCTGTATGAGAGCTGTAAAGATAAGTGTCACTAGAAATGATCTTGTCTGTCTTAATGTCATTTCGACTCTTGCAATTGTGAACAGATCCCGTACTACACCAGGGGCGTTGGCAATGCTCGGGCTTTTTCCGCCATGGCTGGTATGAGCACTTGATTTGTTGTTAAATAGAATACGCTTCCATTTTACATGATTCATTGGACAACGTTATCTATTGTTTTGTCACAGGACGAACAATGTCTCTGATTCCAAAGAGGTCAGTGACGAATCTACATATGGTTAATGTTTATACAACTTTTTTGGGTACTTACCTTATGACTTGCATATTCTTTGTTCATTGATGGATTTTTAAATGATGATATTTTTCTTCTGAGAAATTCAAGTGCAAGTACTGCTGGACTGATGTGAAATTTGAACTTTGGCTCGCTGATTGGTCAATTTTGATTTTGTCTTGTGGTGGCAATTCAAGGATATTGAAATTTATGGACATATATAACTATATGCATCGATGTGATTTTGCGTGAAGGTTTAGAACTTTGTTTATTTAGTATTTACACAATTTGTTGATGGCATCCTGGGGTGCAAGGTGACTAGATTGCCATCCTCTATTACTTTTTATTTTTAGTTAAAGTTCAGTATTAATCTTTGTAACACGTGAATAATATTTTTTAAATTCTTATTTTAAAGGTTTGTGGGGGAAACCTTCTTCTCTGACTTGTTGGGAAAATTTATCACTTCACTTCTTTGTAAATTTCAGGAAGTTACTACATCCTGTACAACAAGATTTAAACATGCAAAGTTGGAGCAGGCCATTTAGTTCCAATTCTGGTATGATATTCATCTGTTTTCTACTGATTGTTGGTGATGGAAGAATTTTTTTCAAATTGGCCGTCATTTTTTTTTTTTTTTTAACAATTAGAATCTATGTCTTCACAGAGTAAACATGAATTGAGAAAGTTGCAAATTTAGTCCCACACGATTTGGCGTATTGCGTATTTTTTTGTTGCAATTTTGGTCTCATCGTTATTTAAACCGCTAGTCAAAATGAGAATTGATTTGCAACTTGGGACCAATTTTGGAATTTGGCCAATTTTGAGGGATCAATTTCGCAACTTTCTTTAAAAAATTATTAACTTTAATAATTATTTCACCAAGTTTTATTCTGATATTTTTTTATAATTTTTTAGTTTCTTATTATTTTTTGTACATCATATCAATCACACTGAAATCATACTGTCTTTTTCTAATTTTTTTAAAATGCAAAACACAACGACAAAACTAATTAATTAATTTTTTGTATTTCTAAATGTTAATAAAATAATATTTGTTAAGATAATATCATGTAAAAAGAATAGATAATATTTATTTTTGACTAGTAATTTATCTAAATATTATCAATTTTTATATATCATATCATTGTAATAAACATTTATGCATACTTTCAGTATTTTTAAAATTGGGCTAGATGCTAGACGGCACCCATGCGCTATATTTTTTTTCCTAAACAACTCTTCTATGTTCGACCAGCTAAGCTCCATTAAGGCGAGCCAGACAACTCCTAGGCGCCTTTTTATTCTTTTTTAAATTTTCATAAAATAGGTTTTAATTTTATAAATAAAATCAATACTAATTATAAATTAAAAATATTAATTGTGTTAAAATTAATATAATAGCTCCGGATGTATTATATTTCACATAATTATTGCATTTTATCATATTAATTAGTATGTTATACATAACGTAACTTGTAAACTATGTATGAAAATAGATATGAATAAATTTATTAATATTTTTATGACTTCCTTTAGGTCTAGACTAATCCATGCCTAAATGATAGGGCTGCCTAGCAAAAGTTTAGCGACTTTTATATCCTTAATTATATTATTATCTATTTTTTTTAAATGTAAAATTGTTTATCCCAAATATATATATTTTTTTAATTACAAGCAGTATTTTATCCCCTTGTTATTTATTTTCTATTATTGCTCCCATTTCGATAATCGACTTTCTATAACTACGAGATATGTACAACATTATTACTAACGTAGAAAACATAATTAAAAATTCATTTTCTTTATAATTTTTAAATGTATGAATAATTTAAAATGAAGATAATGTGCAATATACATTATAAATAAATAATAATATTTTAAAAATTGATTCATAATATTTAAAGCAAACACGATTACTCTTGCAATAAAAAAATATTTAGAACCAATTTTGTCAAACTTAGGACCAAATTTGCAATTTATAATATTCTATGGGACTATTTTTGCAATATTTTACTTTCGTATGAATCATCTAACGGCCTTTAAGTGTTCGGTTAACTTTTAACGGTGATGGAACTAAAATTGCAACAATAAAAAAAAAGAAAGGACCATTGTTACAATTTATGGAACCAAATTTGCAACTCGTCCAATCTTGGGGGACTAGTTTTGCAATTTTCTCACATAAATTTATTACATTCGTTATCACAAGAATAAATTGGATTGCATGTCAATATGTAAAGACAAGATACATGACTCATGAGTCATGAGTCATATCATCCCTAGAATTGAAAAGTTCTTCTCTACCTCTTTATTTCCTTTGGATAATCATTGAAAGTAGGTGTAAGAGAAATCTCTTGCTAACAGGTTCATCTAGTATCTAGATGGTAATTTATGTCGGTGAATGGTATTGTGTAAATCTTCGAGAAATATATTGCTAGACGGAAATAGTTTTCTTGTGTGTTTTACTGTACCCTATGATCTGCGGACTTGTTCTGTGACATTTCTCCCACTACTGATGCATGACAGATGGTGATGTTGTCGAAGCTGTTGTCCCATTTATGGGTGAATCTATTAGTGATGGCACATTAGCTGCATTCTTGAAAAGTATGTTTTTCTCTGCTGTAACCTCCTGGATCACTTCAATAATCATAACCTAAAGATTTCAGCCTTGTTTTTCTTCCCCAACTGATTGTTGGTTTGAGCAGAACCCGGGGATAGAGTAGAAGTTGATGAGCCAATTGCGCAGGTTGAAACAGACAAGGTACTCAATATTGGTTGACAATGTAAAATGTGTTTATCAGTTTTTTACTGTACATATAATTGTGAGTTATTACTCAATTGCAATTGCTGTTTGGAAATAGCTACTTGATGCCTGAGTACGGTTTTACATACTGTGAGCGCGTTAGTAGTAGTATTTGATATCAGAGCGTTTTATGAATTTGCGGCAGCTGAGTCTTCGGTTGTTTGTTGTGCCAGGTCACAATTGATGTCAATAGTCCTGAAGCAGGGGTGATTCAGAAGGTACAATGCAATGAATTAGGCTGATTATGTTACTCTGTTTTTAATTTTATAATTACTTAATGGAGCTAACATCAGTTGACTTTAATTTCATAGTTTATAGCTAGCGAAGGAGATACTGTAGAACCTGGCACCAAGGTTGCTATCATATCAAGATCTGGTGAAGGTGTAACACATGTTGCACCTTCTGATGAAAAACCATCCTCAAAAGCTTCTCAACCATCAACTTCTCCCTCTGAAGAAATAAAGGAGAAACCTACGCCTAAAGTCGAAACAACTCCTGTTGTAGAAAAGCCAAAAGGAACCCCTCCCTCTCTTCCCCCGAAAACACCAGCTACAGAACCGCAGTTACCCCCTAAAGATAGGGAAAGACGAGTGAGTCCTAAGTTTAAATTCTGATTCTTTGGTTATTATTACCAATGATATTTGTAACATCAGAACACGCTTCTATATTGTCAGGTTCCTATGACTAGGCTTAGGAAAAGAGTTGCCACACGTTTAAAGGATTCTCAGAACACCTTTGCATTGCTGACAACATTTAATGAAGTTGACATGTAAGTTTATTTCTGCATTGTCATTTTGTCTTGCTTTAAGGGGTGATATATTTGTGCAATAGGCTTCAGGTAGTGGAGTAATTATATCGGCTGAAAATTAAATAGAAAGATACTTTTCTAGACTGTCGTTAGGGTGCTGCTGCCAATGGTTCAATAAAGATGTTCTTTCCGTGCATGATATATTGAGTTCAACAAGAGATGGATGTTATTTATTAGATTATTGCATTGCTTTCCAAGTGTGTATGTTGTTTTTATTAGTGAGCTTCTATTTGTGAAAGAGTTAGTTGCTCGAATTTTGCAGCACAATTAGATGACCAAAGTGTGTCGCCTCTCTTCTCTGTTTTCCTTAGGGCTTTGTTTTTGTGAGGCATGTGAATGTTGATTACCATTTAAAAAAAACAAAGTATATTCATCTTATAATTCTCCGTGCATCAAAATTTTTCAATGGCTACAATTTCTTATTGCAGGACTAATCTAATGAAACTTCGCTCTGATTACAAGGACTCATTTGTTGAAAAGCATGGAGTGAAGCTGGGACTAATGTCTGGATTTGTGAAAGTACGTCGGAACATCTTTTTCCCCCTGTTCATTCCTCACACACTTGTTAATCGGACTTGTTCTCTTTGATTTGCAGGCGGCTATTAGCGCTCTACAGAAGCAGCCAATAGTGAATGCTGTTATTGACGGCGATGACATCATTTACAGAGACTACATTGACATAAGCATTGCTGTTGGTACCCCCAAGGCAAGTTTTATATTATTTACATTTTGGATACTCCAAATGTGGCTTAAGATCTAAGTGAAGGAATTCAAAATTTTTGCATTTGGCTCCTATCAATCAATATCTGACAAAAAATTTGAGTCAACGTGTTGGAATCTAGATTAATTGATGACTTATGTTGCTTGTACAGTTTTTCTGTTACCTTTGAATCTATAAAACTTGTTTTAAGATTGGTGATGAAATCTTATTTCTTTCATGAACCACATGAGGACAGTACTTTCTATTCCTGCATGACTAAGCTGTATCTTCCTCTTCTCCCCAAGTATCCATCAATAATGAGAAAAGTTTTATTTTTTTTTTTTATTTTTATGGTTCCTTTTCCTGAACAAACTTTATTTTGCCATCAGGGTCTTGTTGTTCCCGTTCTCCGTAATGCTGAAAGCATGAACTTTGCTGAGGTCGAAAAGGCGATCAACACCCTTGCTAAGAAGGCCAACGATGGCACTATTTCAATAGATGAGATGGCTGGTGGAACATTTACCATATCGAATGGTGGTGTTTATGGAAGTCTTTTGAGTACTCCCATCATCAATCCTCCACAGGTTCATTCATTATTCTAAGACTTCTTTTTCGATTTTTTTTTTTTTTTTTTTTTTTT